TTTGGAGTTATTCTGTGAAAACATAATAAAAATACAAAATTAAACAAAAGCAAAAAATGAAGACAAAGATGTGGCAACTTCAGTTTTTTAAAATTTGGCTTCTTGGTGTTCATAAGGCTTCAATAGGTAGCTAAAACCATATTAATAAAATCAACAAGAGACATCTTGAACACTGAGTTCTTTGAAAACTTCTGGACAGGCTGTTTATTATTAAAGCATCAGGTTTTCTAAAAGAACTAATGTGAATTCAGTTCCAACTCTTCCCCAAGCCAAAGCTGCACAGTAAAGCATAAGAAGAGAAATTAAGACAAGGAATATTCTCTGTGTTGTGTCTCCTGTCCCTCTTAGGCAGGACAGTTTTAACTTCAAGGCCATGAGACACATCAGCAACCTCAACGTGGAAACCTAGAATTCTCTTACGCTATCATTTGCATTCCAAGCAGGCAGTGGCTTCAACAGTGATACTGGATCACATGTACAACTGAGTCACAAATCTGATTGTCATGCTTGCAGACTAATTTCAAACGGGAGTCCTGCATCTCTTTTGGAAGGAGAGGCATTACTTCCCCTTTTTGTGTGAAAGTTGCCTATATCTACACTGCCCCCACCACCACTTCATCACAATGTCAGGAGTCACCCCTACAGATGACATTTTACTTAAAACAGAGAGGAAAGCCTGTAAGGCTCTGCTGAGCATGATCTTATGGGTCCAGCTCACTAAAAGGTCACAAGATACCATCAAAATATCTTCACCCATGCAAATATTACATCCTCTCATGTGACTTTCTATTTGACAACTAAGAACTCTGTGTGTGAGAGACAGGGAGAGGTATCGCTTCATCAAAACAGCAGGCGTATCAGTTGCTTTGCCTGGAAAGCTGTGTGTGTGTTATGCGCTGTCCGACTTACAGCAACCCTAATATGGTTTTCAAGGTATATATTTAAACAGTGGTTTGACCAGTTCCACTCCCCCAGTGAGCTTCCATGGCTGAGCCTCTAAGGAGAACTCATTGCTCTATCCACTACCACCACACTGGGAATTGCCTGGAGTTCATGTGCAAAAGAAAAATTAAAAGAAGAAGAAAAGCAAATGTAGATGACTAGTCTCACCCCCCCTCCCCAGCCTCACTGAAGTTCTCCATCCCTCAGAAAAGAGCTGCTTGTATAGGGGAAGGAAGAAACAATAATATAGGGAGATACAACTGTGGAAGGAGGAAAATATGTGCTAACAGTTAGACTGAGGTGTGATGGCCCATGAACTCAATGTCTTTCATCCCAGACGAATGGAAGATTCTTCCAACTCCTGTGGAGTGAAACAGAGATGAGGATGATGACTGGCTTTGGAGGTGCAGAAGGCAGCTGGTTTTTCAAAATTCTTAAGGGAAAGAGGGAGGGAAATCTTCTTTCATTCGACACCCAGGTCTTTTAGTTTCAAGCTGATGTTCTTGAGATACTGAGCATCTGGGTACCCATTTCTGCAGGCAAGAAGCAAAGAAGGGTAGAAAAATGAAGCAACCTTGAGCAACACTGTCATGTAAACCATTGCATAAGCATAAGAGATCCAGTGTGAAACACCTCATAAGCATGAGAATGTTTGAGCAACATTGTTGTGTAAACCATTGCATGAGCATAAGAGATCCAGTGTGATCTCTTAATGTTCCATTAAAAAGCTAATTCAATCCATTACTTCCCACCTTGGAGTGCCAAGAAACTACTATCATTACAGCTGCTTTCTATGTACAGATAATGCATTGAATTGGTAATTATCAACTTGCTAGCTTTGAGTCCCGAAGGCAGCATGTGTTTGTTGTGTAAACCATTGCATGAGCATAAGAGATCCAGTGTGATCTCTTAATGTTCCATTAAAAAGCTAATTCAATCCATTACTTCCCACCTTGGAGTGCCAAGAAACTACTATCATTACAGCTGCTTTCTATGTACAGATAATGCATTGAATTGGTAATTATCAACTTGCTAGCTTTGAGTCCCGAAGGCAGCATGTGTCGTTCTGCCAACTCCTGCGACATTGCTGGAACCAGTTGTATTGGCTCTTGCCTTTCCATTGGACCATTTCAGCAATGTGGAGAGGGGGGATCTGCTGCTTGGGTAACAGCCTATCCTCCATATCATCTTACCCAGGCTTCATGCTCTGGAGAGGACACTCCTCGATTCAGAGCATGTTTCCATAGTCTCTCGAGACTGAAGGATGCCTATGATGTGAAACACCTCATAAGCATGAGAATGTTGTACAGTATTATAAAAGCAAGATGTAACTTACTTATTTTTAAGAGTAACATAGTACTTAATTATTTTTTACAAAAGAGTATTTTAAGAATGGCAACCACCTCACATCCAAATAATGCTGCAAAACCTTATGATGGGCAAACACTATTCGTGACACTTTTAAAAGATACCACTTTTACGGGTTACTTTATTACTTCACAAAGAGAACATAGTTCCTTGTTATCTTTTCCCCAAATAACACGTTATAGATCACGTCACTACTAATAACACATTACTTTCACACTCTGAAGGGACCCTAAGAACCATTCAAGGTAAGATCGTGTTTACTCATAGGTGTAGCAATGCAAGAACAACCTTCTTGCCATTTTTGGAGCCTTGGATTTAAAAGGAGGCACAGATAAGCACTAAAGACAAGATTTGTAGATATCACAGATAAGACAAGTGGCATTGGAATGCTTCTTTAAGTGAAATGAAAGGCTATTACAGTAGTTGGAAAAGCTCTTTACCTTGTGGAAGGTATCAATAAAAACTGATACACATCGTATCCGTATTTTCTGGTTCATACCAGTTATATAAATTTCATAAAGCTGCATAATCCAATGTTGCTCACGAAAAAGTTAAGGACATTCAATTCCCTGTACCCCAACTTTCTCAAAATCTTGTTTTGTCATTTTCCTGGCTTCTAGCTTTTCAGGAGGCATTGCCTACATACTGCCAGCAGAGATTTGCAAAGGAATGCTCCAAATGCCCTTTCCTTCACTCTGAAAGATCCTACCTCACCCACAACCTCCTTTCTATGCTTTTATATAAGGCTGCAGAAATCCACCATATATACAGTCCTGCTAATGGCCAAAGAACTGTGTTCCTTTCTCATGCTAGTTCACTCTTAAAAGCCTTTGCTTCCTTTTTCTCAGTCCCTTCCCGGAAAAAAGAGACATATCATCTTGCCCTGATGTGAGATCTTTTCCCCCTCTGCCTTCTGTTTGTTCTGACAAAATATAACTCTTTTCAGATTGAATGACTGATGTTTCAGGAGCTCCATTTGGGCCCACTGACACATTTCATGCTTTGAGGAATTTGTCATCATTTCTCAAAATGGCTGCCATTGGAGGCCTAGCTAGTCACACACAAGATGGGTAATTTGCTCAGGAAACAATGTAAGGCGAAGGATGAATCCAAGCCTCACATACCCAGCTGTGTATTTGCCACAGTTCGGCACCGTTCAGTTTCTGTGAGAAAAAATGGTGAGGCTCAGAGAAACGCACACCAAAACTAAAACAAAACCAATCTAGAAAACTCAGGCAGACCATCTCTCCCAAAAAGCCAAGTAAAAATATCCACCCACATAGCCCCTGCCCCCACCCCAAAATGACAGCAAGCAACTTCCACCAAAAACACTCCCATCAGAAAATCTCCAGGCAACAAAGATGCACATGCTGTTTAATTCCCTCTACACAACACAATCACATTCCCCAGACTCCTATTTACTCTCCTTTTTCACACACTGTGCCTGCCCATCACTGACCCTCCAGGTGGGACAGCTGCATCCCTGCACCTCCTCATTGCCCTGCCTGTCTGCTCTGGCAGCACCTGAAAACAGGACTACCCAGAGGATACGGTGAATCTGATTTGAGGCTGACACTGGTATGTCTCTGACATGCTGTCCTCTTAACTTGTCTGGGTGCCCCTCAGCCTAGTAAAACTGACTGTGAGAGAAATGTGTGCGTGTTTGCAGAAGACTTCCCCCCCTTCTTGAGATAATTTGCCCTGAGAAACCACTAAGCAACAGTGTCCTTCCTCAGGAAATGTCAGTCAGTACCATTGCTCCCTTCCCCAATCCTGCCATATAGCTCATCAGAGCACTCTCCCAGGCATGCATGAATCCTTGTAGGAAATCATACCTGCTCCTGGCCCCACAAGACCTCTGAGTGGCCTGGCCTGCAGGTACCGGATTGAAGAGAAGAGCCCAATGTCATCCTGGCCTTTGTACACTTACCTAGCTTTGCCCCCCTCCATGGAGGTCTTATGGGGGAGAGCTCCCCAAGTCACCCTCTCCTCTGAGTTGCAGGATTGAATCTGGAATGTCAGGCCACGTTCAAATGCCTTGTGCAGAAGCACCATCAGCCGCCGTCCCTCTGGGTTGTCAGGAAGGTAGGCTTCAAAACGGCCTCCTCTGTACAAATGTCCTGGGCAAGGATGTCCCATCTTTGCAATGAAGAACAGAAGGTGAGTAGGTGTTAATACCTGAATCGGAGAATGAGCTGCAAAACTGAAGAAAGGAGTGCATGAATGGCCAGGTTAAGAAGTTAGGCAGGGGGAAATGAAACCACACAAAGTAGAATGGAAACTGAATTTACATAATCCCAGGAATTTAAATCCAAGAGTCAGATTCCGTTCTTTAAACTGTGTCTGTTTGTATACTTCATTGCTCCACACCATTTCATTCTTTCTCTTTTCAAAGAACTGAGATTTTTGAAGTAGAGGGAAGAAATAGAGAGAGAGCAAAGGAGAAAGAGGACAGATGAGCAAAATTCAACAAAATATTTACACTAAACAAAACATCAACATTCTGCTATTAGAGAATTCTAGATTCTACAATGTTCTTTCTACAAATAACTATGCAAATAGACAAATGTGCATATTGCATAATTTAATCAGATTATGCTACTCAAAGGTAGGAAGGAAAATCTACACAGCCAATCAACATCCAGCTCATGGGGAATCCTGCTTAGCTTTTCTTTTGGTTTCAGAGGATTGCTACGGGAGTTTCGCAAACCACTCTGAATCTATCTTTGAGACATGTGTAAAGGCACATAGGCCTTTTTTTGTTGGGTTACAGCAGAAAATTTTATCTCCCATTGATATAATGACGGCATTCTGTTTCCCATTTTCTTGCTCTACACCAACAGAAGGTGCCAATGAACCTTCCGTTGGTGGCAATGAACAGTCAATGAACAGAGAGAAGAGACTGCAAACAGACACTATGACATGTTTGTTTCACACCTCTGCAATTTCTGTCAACTCTTTTCCCATTCCTGCCTTGCTAGCAGTCTGTCATCACAAACAGGGGCAACAAACACATTACCTGATTTGGGGAGCTTTTTGCCTCTTCTCTGGCCCTCAGACTTTACACCAGAAGAAAAGTTGTAGAACAGCCGAAAGCCCACTTTGGCCAGAATCCAATTCTGTTATGCAATCACCTCAGAGAGCACCACCGAGCAGCGGAAGGCAATGTGGCAGCTGTCTGTCACATGCCTAGTTGCCCTTTCCTTACACAACTGTAGCATGACCACAAGCTTTGCTTTTGCTTTGCACAGCCTACAACCAGCAAAATATGGTTGTAGGTTTTGCTCTTTGCTCTTAAGTGCCTGGTATTTCGCAGTAAAAGTTTGGCCACTATTTGTAGCTCTTAATGATCCATGAAAGATACCATTCAGCCAAGAATTTTGTTTCCACACCATGTTTCCCCCAAAATAAGACAGGGTCTTATATTAATTTTTGCTCCAAAAATGCATTAGGGCTTATTTTCAGGGGATGTTTTATTTTTTTTAAGGTACAACAATCTACATTTATTCAAATATAGTCATGTCATCATCTTCTGGTTGCTGCACAATGATGGAGGGTGGGGTTTCACTTAACTAAGGCTTATTCTTGGGGTAGGGCTTATACTAGAAGCATTCTGAAACATCATACTAGGGCTTATTTTCAGGTTAGGTCTTATTTTCAGGGAAACAGGGTACATGTATCACACAGCTCTTTTTCTGTTTGTTGAAAATTATGGAAGAAATACTCTACTCAGAAGAGTTACTTATATAGAGCGAAAAATACGGTACTTTTTTGCACAGCATTTTCCAGACTCCCCTCCCACCATGGCTAAAGAAAATTTACTGCAAATTTGGGGTTGCTGTAAACTTGCTCTTTTGAAAAAGTTGAAAATTAGCAAGGAATATAGTCTAAAGAGGTCCAAAATGTCACAAGCCAGATTGTTAACTGGGATCGGTAACAGGGAACTGGCTATTTATCCAGTTCCGGGCACAGTTCAAAATACCAGTTTTAACCTATAAATCCCTACATGGCTTGGGTCCTAGTTATCTAAAAGAACACATCTCGCGTTATGAGCCTACCTGGGTATTAAGATAATCAAGAGAGGCCTTTCCCTTAATTCCACCATTCTCACAGGTGCGCTCGGTGAGGACATGGGAGAGGGCTTTTGCTGATTCCACCATTCTCACAGGTGTGATTGGTGAGGACATGGGAGAGGGCTTTTGCTGATGCTCCTAGACTCTGGAACTCCCTCCCACAAAAGGCCAGGATGGCCAATTTTTGTTGTCCCTCTGCAAGCAGACAAAGACTTTTCTTTTCAACAAAAGGCCAAACTTTTTGCTGTCCCTCTGCAAGCAAAGACTTTTCTTTTCAGGCAGGCTTTTCTTTAAAATCAAGGTTCTCCAAACTATGGCCCGCGGACCACATGCAGCCCACTGTGCTTTTTTATCCAGCCTAGCGTGTGTGCATATGGCTGTGTAAGCGTCTTCCTTTGGCCCTCGAAAATGCGGAGCATATATGATGTGGCCCTCCTGCTGAAAAGTTTGGAGACCCCCTGCTTTAAATGACTGGTTGCCCAAGGGGATTTTTTAAAGGCAGCATTTTATTTCATGTTTTACTTGTGCTTTTAGTATTGTTCTTATTATGGATTTTAATGGCATGTTTGTTTAATCCTTTTAAAATATCGTACTAATTTATTATTTGGTTTTAAAATGTGTTTCTTTTAATACTGTAATCCCCCTTGGATCCTTTTGGAGGAAGACAGCACATAAATCTTTTAAACAGATAAATAAATAAAACAAGAGATACATGGTTACTTACTCGTTGCACCCCATCAGGAATGTCATATATCAGTTTGAGTGTTGGGTCTCGGTAATAACCAGGGAGGCTCTGTGACAAGGTTGCAACTGTAAAAGTTCCGGAGATCACAGCAGAAGCACGGGCGTTAGGGGAGGAGATTTTTCCTGCCAACAAGCATGTCTTGCAAAGAGTGTGGTGGCAGGAGAGGATGGCAGGGGTACTTTGGCAAACCTCACACTCTCCAGCCAGGGACTCCCTTCCTGGGCTGGCAGTTTGTAGAGCTGTGTCTGAGGCAATAGCTTCTCCAGGTGGGGGAGAGCGCTTGCCTGGCACCCACAGTGGTACTGAGTCAACACCTGGTGGCAGAATAGGCAGGGACCACTGGGCCCGTTCTGCCTCTTGGCTGCATTCCTCCTTGCTGTAGTCTTGCTCAAAATGGATTTTCTCCAGCAACCTTTGTCTGACTTCAGCAACAGGTTTTCTAGGCAGGCCTTGCTTGTTGGCATCAGGGATGTGACTGAGACTCTTGCTTTGTCCTGCTTCTCTGTCACTTGCAAAATCCTGCACCAACAGAGTCTGGGCAACATTGTCACTCAGCAACTGCTGAATCTGGGAGGACAATTTCTGTTCATCTAAGCTGCTTGGGATGGATGGGCTCTTTGACCAGCTGGTTTTGCTGTTTTCCGTCAGCTGCTGGAGGCTCCTCTGGCTCTCTGTGCTCAACATCTCATCCACAGTTTTCCCTTGCTGCACCTCAGAGCGAAGGAGTTGCTCAGAAAGGGAAGCCTTCCTCTGATTAAAGAAGAAATTAAATGCTTCCAGAATCTGCACCTTTGCTTCATAAGGGTAGGCAAGGCTGAGCTTGTACCTGTCTCGACGGATGAGAACTTCGGTCAGACAACCTTTCAGGTAGTTACACAGATCAGTCAGAACCTCATCTTCAGGTCCCTCCAAGCCTAGCTCAGAGTAGCTGAAGCTGTCAAAGACGTAATTAAGGTCCTTTGTAAGGTTCTCCGCTCCTTGTGTGCCTGAAAGTCTGCCATCACCTCTCTGGACTGCAAGCAAAATGGAGTTAGCATGTCTTTGTTCAGCACTCTGAGATTCTACTTCACAAGCTTTCTCCTTCTGGGTCATTCTTTCCTGGCTGACCTCTTTCTGCAGAGTATGGAGCTCCTCTTGAGCTTCCTTCTGCAAATGGTTCACACTGTCCTTGGCAGCTAGCTGCTGTAGTTCAGCCACGGACTCAGTGCTGTCCAGGGGCTTCTGCCACGAAAGACTATGGGAACGTCTGAGGAGGAGCCTTGGTTTTGATTTTTGGCTGTCTGCAGCCCCTGTGGTGTCAAAGAGGTCCAAGGATCTGAAGACACTGGAGTCAACATGGAGAGACAAAGACTTCTTGAAACCAGAGTTTGTGAAGCCCTCAAACCTTGACACAGCACCTCCTAGCGTGGCCTGTGGTGGATCTGTTTTTGGCCCTTGTGGTGCTTTCTGGAACTGCATGGCCTCCCTCATCAGGCTCTCAGGTTCGATAGCAGTGGCAGCCACTCCTGAAAACTGCACTTCGCTGTCTGGAGGTTGGCTGTCAGCAGGCAAACTCCCAGAGAACTTTCGTACCAGTGGAGTACCCAGGCTTGACATGGATGGAAGGGAAGGCTTCGAGCTAAATTTGGCAGCCAGTTTGTGTTCAGTTTTGCCATTGGGCTTGGGTGAATTCAGGTTTCTCAATCCAGATTCTTCAGAGGATTTGAGTTGGCCTGGCACAGCACTCTGCCTGTGGATCACTGGCAAGTGGGACGGTTGGGAGGGATCATCTTTTTGACAGTCTTGAGATACTCCTCTTGTGGCAATAATTTTTTCAGCATGTTGTTTGGCTTGTAAAATGTCCATCAAATTCCCAACAAAATAAAAATTCTCATGGTCCTCATGGCACAAGAGCAGTGGACAGAGGCTCTGGAGTTCCCCTGGTAGGGCCCTCTCGCCATGGGCTCCCAAATCTTTTTTGCTGATCTTCTCTTTCCGCAAAGTGGCCTCCAGCTGCTGAGAAAGCTGAGAAATGGCCAGGTGAGCGGACAGAAGAGCACTCATTCCCCCAGCCCCATCCGATGCTGCCTGCAGATAGAGGGTGGTGACACCATCACTATTTACATCCACCACGCTCACCTGGTTATGGTGCAAAATGTTGCTGAGTTCCTTATCGCAGAACCTTTGCATGTAAAGGTAAATGTCAGAATCTATTACCAACAAGAAGTCCTCTGGTGGTTCTACGAGACTCTCCACAGAGTTCTGGATGGATAATGGCCCCCCAACAGTCTCCTTCTTCTCATCTTGTGCCACCTCATGGGGGGAGGCCCCATCTCCTGGAGCCTTGCCTGCAGATCTCCCGCTGTTTTCTTGAGAGACGGTTCCTCTCTGCTTGCTCCTGAGGGATCTGAGCAGCTCTGAGCTGAAAGCCTGAAGCTCTGTGAAGGACCCTTTGACAGAACAAGTCATCTCCTGGGGATTAAAGTTGAAGTGGATGCCTTTGTACTGCTTGAACAGACTGCACAAGACATCCTTGCCCTTGGGGACGCATCCATAATCAATCTTCATGTGGACACGGACAAAGACCTGAGGAGAAAAGCATTAAGACCTTTTTAGGTACACCAAAAATGGAGCCATACTCAAGAACACTGTTTTTACATGTCATCCATAAAGACGTTTTGCCAGAGGAAACCAAACTCAGGAGGCAAACGCACCTCTGCTATGAGTCATATATAAATTGAGAATGTTTGTGGGAGATGGGGGTCCAGTCTTTTCATCTAAAAGAATGTAAAAGTGGGAAAAGCTCCCTCATCCCTTATCTTTCTTCCCTGCTGTCTTTCACCTCAAGACACATTTCTCCCACCTTGACTCAGTTCTGGTGTGGGAACCAAACTGGCAGGAAAAGAGGAGTTAAGGTTGTTTTAGATATTTTTTTAAAGTGAGGATAAGCAACCTTGGCAGGTCTGACGCCAGCTGCCTGCTCCTACAATCCTCTAGGGAATGCACAATCTGTTGAAAATTTAAAAAGGGAGAGGGCAGAGATGGCTGGAATTCTACTGCTGATTTTGAAAGCTGGCTATTCCAGTGTGCAAAACACTGCAAGGGAGTGTAAAAGTCTTCAAGGAACAGCAGCTCTTCTTTTTTCCTGCCTTCCTTTCTTTCTGGCTGGGTAACACCCTTTTTTTGGCAGGGGCATGGCAATCTGATGGAGCCAAGGGTAGGCACATCTGGCCCCAAGGCTGCACTTTGCCACCATTTCAAAAAAAAATATTTGTCAGGAGAAAAGGCTAATGTTTAATGTACACTAGGACTCACCAGGAGCCTGTCTTTGTATCTTCCTATCCCCTGAGACACTGTTCTGTAAAGAAGCTGTTCAGGATTATTTATGTCCCCCATTCCTCAGATACCTTTCCTTAAAAATCTCAAGGTAGCTTTTTAGATTACAACATGGATTACCATGCTTAAGAGAGCATTTAGACTAACTCCCAACAATCTACGGTTTCTAAAATATGTGCATAAAACAAGCTGTAGAGTGACTCTGGAAAAATTTATTTTCCAAACTAGACTTCTGGGATCCCCCAAGAAGGAAGTGGTGAAGTCCAAAAAAAAAAAGCAACTTTTTCAAACTCTGGAACAACCCTACTAAGCATTACCAGTTACTGACAACAGAACCAGGAATGGAGTTCTAGTTCCCTCTAGTTTTACAAAATCTGACATCAAGTACTACATAAACCATGTTTCCTCCAGCAGGGACTAGAAAAGACTTATTGGCTGACAGAAAACATACCTTCACATTCTAGTAAGACATCATTACAAAGTATGACATTGGAAATATATGTTACAGGAAAGTAAGATACAGAGCAGAGAATAACAAATTTGAAGGAAGCATCGTCTTCACAACTAGAACTTGTGGCTTTCTAGTAAGAAAGCAGGCCGCTCCCTTTCAAGCATGTAGCTGAAAGATCCTAAACTACGAGTAGTCACCTATCTGAAGAAATACCGAGAGAAGGCACCCAAGCCTTCATTGTGCAACCGTAAGGAGTGTTTGCCTGATTAGACAGGAAGACAGCCACATGGAGGGGAGGGGAGTGCTTGTGACTTCAGGAACTATTTTTTTCAAAGTTTCTGAAAATGAAACACAGATAGCGAACTGTGCCGTATAGGTGAAGCAAGAATTCAAAATACTTGTCTCTTTTAGGAACTTAATGGATAATAGTCTGCACCAACCCACAGATAAAATAAAACAACAACCCACTTGATAAAAGCTTAAAAGGCACCAATATAAAGCAGTGTTTACTGTACAACAGGAATGGTAGCTTTTCTGTTCACGACATATTTGAAATGTCAACTCCCCAAACCCAGAGACCAGTATGGCAAATAGTAAGGGATTACAGCAGTGACTGTTCAAAACCTCTTGAAAGCCCAATGTGCATAAGGTACATATTTCAGAATTAAATTCCAAACCACAACAATTTCTGGAATGAATTCTATTCCATGCTACCTTCTGTAAGATGAAACTACTGTATTTTTCCATGTATAAAACAACACTTTCCCCTAAAATAATTAGAAGGAAAATTGAGGGTTGTTTTATACACGGAAGGAGGCTGAGGCGAAGGGGCACTTGTGTGTGTCTCTTGCTGCTGCCCATTGACTGCTGCTGCCACCCCCCCATTGCCTCCTCCAGAGTTCAGATCACCACCTTGTCTCCTCTGGTGGTGAAGGCAGCAGAAGGCAGAGACAGAGGCAAAAAAAAAGCACTCGCACGTGCTCGGGCGCCTCTCGCCGCTGCCACCGCTGCTACCTGACTGCCTCCTCCAGTGTGACTGCCGGAGCTCACCTCCAGCTCATGCCACCGTCTTGTCCCCTCCGGTGGTGGGGCAGCAGTAGCAGCAGGAGGAGGAGATGGAAGCACTCACGCACACTTGGACACTTCTTGCTGCTGCCCATTGACTGCCGCCACCGCATTGCTTCCTCCCGTGCTCCCTTTGGGGTGACAAGGCAGGGGACAAGGCAGTGATGAGGTGACCTGGAGGTGAGCCCTGGAAGTTGCATTGGAGGAGGGGATCAGGCGGCGGAGGCAGCAGCAGCAGGAGATAGAAGTGGAGGAGCAGTTGTCCATTAACTGCTCCTCCACCTCCAGCAAGGGTCAAAATTAGGGGGTTGTCTTATACATTGGGGGGGGTTTGTATACACAGAAAAATATGGTATATGGTATTCTGTTACGTTTCTGAAGGCCACCCCCTCCTGGCAGGTATTGGTGCCCAACTGTACTGTTTACAATAAACTGTCCTTGGGGCAAATAGGAGATTGGTGGGATGGGAGAGATGATTTGAGCAGAAAACTGCTACTCTTTGAATTCCCGAGCTTCAGATTTAGGCAAGACAAGTGAGTGAGAGGAAAAAAAGAGAAAGAGGTGACGTATGTACTTGGACAAAGGCTGGAAAAAATATCCTGCATACTCCCTTTCTAATTTTCTCCCCTTTTGATTTAAAGCAGGAGTGGAAACCCTGTGGTCCTCCAGGTGTCACTGAACTAAACATCATTTTTGTCCCTTGACATGCTAACTAGGACTGATGAGAGCTGCAGTCAGACAACATCTGGAAGACCTAACAATAATTTAAATTAACAAGCAACTATCCTAACAGTTTGGGTTCCACCCTTTTCATCCTCTGGGATGTTTCATATGTCACTGTTCATACAGTAAAAAGTCTTTATGGGATCTGAAGTCCTACAGTGTAGAGTTTAGAATGTTTTTCAGCTCTGCTGGGTAACTCCCAACAAAGTCAAATAACCCTCTTTTTAAAAAAAAACTGTGCAGGGGATGTTAAGCTAAGTGATCTTCAATAGACAGAACATGTAAACACAGAACCTTCCCTCTAAACAGCTGGGACCTGAAGTCCTACAGTGTAGAGTTTAGAATGTTTCTCAGCTCTGCTGGGTAACTCCCAACAAAGTCAAATAACCCTCTTTAAAAAAAAAAAAAGTGTATGGGGACGTTAAGCTAAGCAATCTTCAATAGACAGAACATGTAAACACAGAACCTTCCCTCTAAACAGCTTTCAGGGTCTCCGATCACCTAGAATATAACTTCTTCTGAGTCAGAACCTTTTCTTCATAATGTCAGACATGTAGAGTCCAACTGCAGTTTATTTGGCAGCACTGAAAATACCCTTTGCTTACAAGCTGTCCAAATGAGAAATATTTTCAATAAGAATTTCTTTTTTCTGGAAATGGTGCTCTGTTGCCACTCTGTGGCTATCGCTGCTTACAGCAACCAACTGTGGTGACAAAAAAGAATTCAGTTGTTTTAATTACCATCATTCTCATGTGTAACTTGTTTTTTCTCCAAAAAAGGGTTTGGGTAGCTTACCAGATGTGGTTATTATATTTCCACTTTCACAAACGATCCCTGTGAGACAAGTGAAGCAAAGATATACTGACTGGGCCAAGGCCACTGGATGAGCTTTATGGCACAGCAGGAATTAAAATCTACCGTATTTTTCTGTGTATATAACTCCACAATATACAAGACAACTCCCTGATTTTTGCCATTGCCAGAGGTGGAGGAGCGTTAGCCGGCAGCCACGAGGGGCAGCCCAGCCCGGCTGCTCCTCCACCTCCAGGTGTTACTGTCTCCTGCTGCTGCCGCTGCCGGATCGCCTCCTCCAGCAATCATTTACCGTAGATCCTAACAATGTTCATTTCATGATTTTATGAAGGTAAACCTTTGCCTGGTCCACATACTACCGAAATATTCTCACCGTGAAAGTATTTTTACAAAAGGCCAAACCTATTACCCAAAGTTTCCAAAGAGGCAGATGTGTTAGTCTGTTTCAGTGTGTTGGTGGGCTATGGGTAGAGGAAGGAAAAGAAAAAAAGGCAACATTTTGTGGCACTTTAAAGGCTAAAACAGACACCTTAAAGACTGCTTCCCTCTCCCAGGTTTTGGGTGGCCAGCCTGTACTCAGCTACAAACAACCCCGAATCTTAAACAACTGCTGATACAAAACAGGTGACACAGCACAGAGACAGGAAGAAAACGCTGCCACAAACCTAGAGGCCAGCTCCCCATATCTACATAGGACCATAAAGGGTCCTCTCGATATCAGCCACAACATGAGGGACTTATTAACTTGTTCTTCCTCTAACATGATTTATGTCATCTTCTGCCAGCTGTGCCCCTTTGCATTCTGAAACAAACAGGACAATCTCTGCATGAAAATTATTGGATACAGGGGTGACATAAAAAACTGTGACAGACAGAAACCTATTTCAAAATCTCTCCCATGACACTGTTATGGATCTCAAAGCTACCATCATACAAAACAGGAATTACAAAAGGTGTGATTTATGTCATCTGCCACCTGTGCCCCTTTGCATTCTGAAACAAACAGGACAATCTCTGCATGAAAATTATTGGATACAGGGGTGACATAAAAAACTGTGACAGACAGAAACCTATTTCAAAATCTCTCCCATGACACTGTTATGGATCTCAAAGCTACCATCATACAAAACAGGAATTACAAAAGGCAGATTCAAGTGGGAGACAGGAGATGAAGTAACGTAAATTCTAGTTCTAAGGCCTTAAATAAAAATTAGGCCTTCTTAGTTCAATATATATACTGATAAGTAAGCTTTCTATAGCATCTTCTGTACAGTGGTGCCCCGCATAGCGACGATAATCCGTTCCGGATAAATCGTCGCTATCTGGAAACGTCGCTATCTGGGGCAAAAAAAAACATAGGAACACATTAAACTCCGTTTAATGCGTTCCTATGGGGGATAAACTCACCGCTAAGCGGGAATCCTCCATAGGGCTGCCATTTTCGCCAGAGACAGGAGGTAATGTAAATTCTAGTTCTAAGGCCTTAAATAAAAATTAGGCCTTCTTAGGTCAATATATATACTGATAATCAAGCTTTCTATAGCATCTTATGTATATATAACGTTTTGTCTTCCTTGATTGTCTCACCTCTATCCCAGCAATTCTCTGACAGCCAAACCCATCAGCGCGAAAACGCTGCAGACGGTCATTTTCTTGATCTGGCGGCCATTTTGGAACCACCGATCAGCTGCTCTAAAACATCGCAATGCGAAGATCGGTAAGTGAAACGCAATGCGATTGCAAAAGTGATCACAAAAAACGTGTCGCTATGCGGATTCGTTGTTAAACGGTGCACTTGTAAAGCCTGGCACCACTGTATATATAACATTTTGTCTTCCTTGATTGTCTCACCTCTATCCCAGCAATTCTCTGACAGCCAAACCCACCCAGCAGACAGCCAATTACCCTGATGGTGACCTGCAGTTTTAAGCAATTAACATTTTGATAGTCCCATTCTTCTGTTAATAATACATGGGAACAAATCTCTCTTTCTTTTGTCCTTTTTTTTCTTTCTCACCTTGTCTTTTTCTGTCAACAGGTGATTACCAACAATGGTTAAATAATGTAGTGAGAGAACCCTGTGGTTGTCATGGCAACCAAAAAGTCTTGAGGTAATCTGCCCAAACGAACTCTGGCATATAGGGTGAAGTCAAGTGCATGTAGGATGAAGTTCTGCAAGACCACCATCTTGCGATTCTACAACTTTACAGCAGAAATCACTTCCCCCACTCCTCCAGGCAGACTGTTTGGCTGTGTGTGTGTGTGGGTCACCCCAACAACATCCGTGTTCTGTCTCTCTGACCCAACACTAGGTACAAACACTCATATTCAGGTCATGGCAGGATGGATTTCTTGGTCAAAAAGACTTCCTTCTGAATGAGTGCAACACCCCCGACACCCATACATTTCAACTGGAATGGGAGCTGCTCTGCTTTGCCCACCTCCTCCTTACAGATCTCAGTCTGGCCCAACAGATTAGGTCCTCCATCCATTATTAAATCATTCAGTAGCAGTACCAGTGGGAGGAAGGAGGCCCAACAGATTTTTTGACTTTTATCCATCCTGCCCATAAACATGAAAGCACAAGACAAATCTCAGCAATATATACTTTAGATTCTCCTGTGAGTCATGCATTGTCAAGGCCACACTATGCCTTGCATTCCGAAATCCACCGCTACCATGCCTTTTAACCTATTACCTCATTGGGATTCAATTCAGTGGGGTACGCAGTCACTTCCAAAGGATAGTTTTCCCCACTTACAGACAGGACATGCCTTTTGGCTTTCAGTACTCGCTGAGCCACTGAATGAGAAAAAGAAAAGAACAATCAAGAAAATCTTCAGCAAATGCCACGTTTGCTCAAGGGCTTGGAAGCAGCACAAAACCCCATCACGTTTGCTTTGCATGCACGCACACGTGCATGTGTGTGTGCACGTGCACGCACACACACACACACACACACATACATACAAACACACCCCTATGTTCTCTTCTCTCCGTTTTTGAATTCTCATTTATATTTCAAAACTTCCCAAAATTCCCGCTACAAAATCCACATTTCAGAATTTGGATTACAAAATGTCATCTTTGATCTAAAGCACATTTTTCACTTCCAGATCAGATTTTACTTTGTGGATGCGCTTAGCACAAATCACAAATTGTTTTACTTTGGCTAGCTTAATTCCTTAACTGGTTATTTGTAATTAACTCCTTTTCCCAACAACAAAAGCATAATTAGGCCACACTATATCTCAGTGTAATACGAGACAGCTTCACTTAACAAGAGGAACCATTATTTGTTTTGTGATATAACTGTAGCTTTCAGTTTCTTTTACAGTTCTATGACTGAAGCCTCACTAAATGGTGGAGAAAGAATCTTACATAGTCCAAATGTTGCCTTATGCTTTCTAGTGGAGTATCAAGTACTGCCTCCTGCTGCTGCCCCGTCCTCTGCATTGTTGTGGAGGGGGCAATGGAGGCAGATGAGAGAAGACAGTGGGTTTTGTTCAGCAAACCTGTCTTCTGTGGTACTGACAGCTGTTCTGTAAAAGTAATCTACACATACCTTTGAGAAAAGGGTAAGTAAAATTAATTTTTAAGAGCTGTAACCAAAATATTAATTAAAAACTCATGGGTGTCTTCAAAAAAATGGTGGTAACTCAATTACCTTTTGGACTTTCCAAACTCTTGAGTTGGAGGGAAAACACACACACTTCAGACCCTCACACATGTAAGCTTTCAACTCTCTCTATACTCCCACAAATTCCCACTGCTCATGCCATCTTTCAATTCCCTTTCCAGAAGAAGTGAGAAGCATGTAGTTATTTTAAGGTGTTCATTTCTGAAAACTTCCTCTCATTCTGCAGACAAAATCAATATATTACAAATGGTCTTGCACAACATTTGCTAAATTTCGTAAGTTATACCTATTGTACTTTAGAGGGGAATTTTTTTATTCATTTCCCAAATGAGACAGTTGCATCATTACCAATTATGAATAAAAGAACACACAACATTCTCTCTCGAGCCATAAGCTACCCTTCCCCTCCTCACACAGAGACACTACTATTATTAAACCAAACAATCCTGCTCCTTGTCCAGCAACCTGATGCATCTTCAAAAGTAATAATGGCACAGTCTGGGGTCTCTGGTGCAAATTCAATGTTGACAATTTCACCACCACCATTGCGTGCTCTCAGGAAATGGATTGTCAGCTTGTCAGCCACTCGCTCCGGTGGCAGGTCAGCGGGGTATCCACGGACACAGACTGTACAGCTGGTAGACATGTTGTCAAATCTGGAAGGAAAACCTATGTGTCAATAGATGGAGGAGCTAGCATCCCTGCTGCTGACTCACAAATTCAGTTCCTGACAACAGAAATGCATTTTGTCCCTACTGCACATATGAATAGCCTGCTCCCATATTGAGAAAATATGGGACTAAAGGTAGCAGCTGCAAGAAAGGCTTCCAAAGGTAGAAAACATAGCTTCACAAAACGGCAACTCACAAATAGAGCCTAGCCATCATGGACAGTGGCCATGATGACTGGGAGTATTCTTGAGTTGTAGTTACAAAAAATAACTTTTACTACATATGGAAGAAATATATATTTTGATAGCTGCAGAAAGTCATATTACCATCCCAAGAGATATGCAAGATTCTGAGAAATGTTTGTGTGTTTGGTTTTGACAACAGTACAGAAGCACTGCCACAAATATTTAGTTAGTTATATGGCATCAAGTCAGAACTGACTTATGGCAACCCTAACAGGGGTTTCAAGATAAGTGGGATATTTAAGGAGTGGTTTTACCAGTTCCACTCCTCCAGTGAGATGGTCTCCAGAGTCTTGGTCCATCACTCTTATCTATCACACAACACTGGGTCCTTTAAGATATAGGAGGCCTGTGTTCAAATCCCCACTCAGCCACAGAAACTCACTGAGGGTGACAATGGTAAATCACTTCTTGAACAATTCACATGCATTGAAAACCCCACTGAGGTCACCATAAACCAGAAGTGATTTGACTGTACATAATAGTAATAAATGGTGGGGGTATGTGACAAAAATGGGAGGTATTTTCCTATATTTTTTATATTAAAAGGTATCAAACGCAGAGCTTAGAAAGAGTTAATTAGTAATTTGGGGAAAACTGAAGTACCTGCAATATTATCCTGTCCCTCCATCTTTTTCTTTTTATTTCTTACTGGAAACCGGAGGTTATCATGGGCATTTTGATTTTGGGTGTCAAATTGTAAAAAACCCCTAAAAAATCAAAAGGATGCTGTGCTAAATCCACACCAGCTTCTAAGACCTTTCAGGTAATGTTACTCTCCTTTTACACATCATTTCCCATTTATTTCACCTGGAATGATCAGCTGTAACAACCTGTATTCAAAAGGTCAATAACTGCTTTTAGGCTTAAATGTATCTCTCATGTCACACATGTAATTACACCAAGACGAATATCATTGCGGCTTAGAACAATTCAAAGCTGGGAAATTAATATATTCAAATTCTAATTGTCAGTTCATGTTCTTTACCGTTTTGCTGAAATGCAGTTTTTAATGGTAACTCACCAGTAGCCCATGAGATAGAAACCTACTCCCCTTCCCAACCATCTGCCTCCAACATTTGTCTTCTGACCAGGTCTTCACAGTATTTGTTCACGGTCTCCGTCTGGGAGGAAGCAAATGAATTCTGATCATTTAGCCTGCTGGCCCTGTCTGTTGAGCACCTCCTGCATGCATAATGCAGCAAGAAAAAGCCCAGCTTTGCTTAATACGAGCAAAGAGCCATTGTCTCAACCCCTCACCCCACCCTGAAGCCCCTCTTGCCCCAGCACAGGTGCGAGGATGGACTCCTCTCTACTCTTCAATTATTCATGAAGGATCAAATTAACATGCAGAGAAGTATATGTGCATACTATAAATATTCATGATGCCTCAGGGCTCTTTTTTTTTAAAAAAAATAACACTCATTAAGTCTAAGTGAAATAGTACTTCAGAAAGGGAGAAAGGAAGGGGAGAAATGAGTGTAATGTCAGGGGAAGGATGGGTGTGTGTGTGTG